TTGATCAAAACAAAACAAGGAAAAGAAAACATTCACCTGTCTTTGCATACGTGGCGGAATCCCAATTGCTGTCAGAATCGCTTTCATGGCACCCATTTCATTTGGATCACGTCAGGCACATGTACGGACGCACAGGAGAACGCGCGCAAAAGCAGCTGTGGTGCACCCGCAGTCTCGCGCTTGTTGTTCTGACATCTCTGGCACTCTCACTACGGGCATCCAGGCATCTGACACCCTAACACAAGTCGCTCTTTCTGTCTTTCAGTGGTGTTCCTAGCGGCACACGACGGCAAATGCACATCAAGCTATCCTTGAACACGTGTCGCCATTTGCATTTTATATTAAGAAACTGAAACTTGCCTTAACTGAATGTTGAAAGTTTGAGATCTAATAATATTCTTCATGTGTGATATGGAAGTTCTGGAAAATTTAATATTGAAGGATGCTTCGTAATTTAATGTATCGTAATTTTGATTAGTTGATATGATTTCGTTTCATAAAACCGTAAAATATTACCATTTTAAACTTCATTTTTTATTTTAAAATTTACATTATTTGTACAGTTCGTTGCTTAATTTTTTAAACTCATTATATCCAACCAAACGCTCACGTAAACTATCGTGGACGATGGGACTTTATTTATTTATTTATTTATTTGTTACCTACGTTACCTACATTTCGCCCAGGGGGCATTGTTGTGGGGGGGGGGGGTTAAATTACATATAAACACAATAAATACACAAATGGAAATGCAAAACATATCAATACATGGTGACATCTGCTACAAGTAATACAATACGCAATCACACAAAAAAAGAAAAACCTGAACACGGCATACACGTATCTACTATAAGCTGCTAACATCAGCACAAAGAAAAACAATACATTGGTCATGGATTAATCTCGTGTAAGTAATGACTTGAAAGAGACAATCAAAAGTTTCATTCGAAGCCGGAACCACAGCTTCCGGGAGGCTGTTCCAGTGATTTATTGTGCGTGGGAAAAATGACGCTTGAAAAAACGATGTGCGGCACGCTATTTATCGTATTTTCTTCGTGTGGTCTACTCTTTGGGGAACAAAAGTAGGGGGTTTCAGGTACATGTTCCCATAGGCATAGACTTCGGGGGGGGGGGGGGGGGGGGGGGGGGGCAAAGCCCCCCCCCCCCCTTTCCGGGAAATGGGAAGTCTACGCCGCTGCATCTTCCTATCAATGCCGGTACGTTCACGAATCACTTTATTCAGAAAAGAGTACCTTGATTGATAACCTTCGGCGACGTTCAAGCGAGTCCCATGATAATGACTTTTTTAATGCCGTGACACTGATATCAAAATGTTAAGAGTTGATAAAAAAAACGGACAGAGAGATTTTGGATGGCCTCAAGTTTATTAATTAAGGTCTTAGTGTCGGAATCCCATACTACACCGCATATTTCAAGAGGAAACGTACGTTAGAAACGTGTAGTATTTCTTTGAGGTCACGAGGTGCGTGTTCAAAGTTTCTCTTTATAAATTTAACTACACGTTTTGCTTTCATTGTTATAGATTAAACATGACTATCCCCATGTTAGGTTAGATGAAAAAATAACACCCAAATACTTCACATCTTTCGTCAAGGTAATCTGATCCGCATCTAGATCCGCCTGTATGTTTAGACGCTTTCTGCTAAAGCTGATACAATTACACTTTACAAGATTTAGTTTCACTTTCCATTTGTTGCACCATGAGAGTATTTGATCAAGAACAGTCTGTAAAGCGGCAGCATCGTTCTGGTTATTTATATCTTTGAATAACACACAATCATCTGCATATAATCTTATTTTTGAGGTCGTTCCGTAGCCTATATCATTTAAATAGGTTAAAAACAGAAGCGGACCAAGTACGGACCTTTGGGGAACACCCGACATTACTGAAATAAAGTAAGATTTTGAGCCATTCATGACTACTTTTTGGGAGCAACTGATTAGATAGTCTGCTATCCAGCCAAGGACAGAAAGAGGTAGACCTAAAGTTGCGAGTTTTAAAAGCAATAAAGAGTGTGGCGCGGTATCAGAGGCCTTACTAAATTCTAACATTATACAATCAACTTACTTCCCAGAATCAAAAGAAGAAAACACATCGTACGAAAATTCGACTAACTAAGTGACGCAAGAGAAGCCTGCCCTAAAGCCATGTTGAAACTGGACAAAAAATATTTGTTTGGAAGTGATGAAACATGTTAGAGTAATACCTCTTTCAGACGGGCACCTAAAAGGACCTTTACGCCAAAGGCCTTTAGGATTTTCAAATGACCTTTACGTTTTGCCGTGCCAGACAGCACAAGTAAATGTCATTTAGACGATGTTTACAACGATTGAAGTCTCGTAGCTTGGTTCAAACGCATAAATCATCTTCAAGCCAGAAAAAAAAATATTATTTTGTCGATATAAATAATTTGTAAGTTTTTCTGAAGCAAACAATCATTAAAAAAAGACAGAATGACGAGTTTAGTCGAGTGATTATAACAAAGTCCACTTCAAGCCCTAGCAAAGTGGTTTTTTGGCGATTAGCGGCAACCCTGGGAGTCTCCCGCTTTAGTCCTAACTAGGGACGCTAGTCCTAACGTGCTAACGTTGCTCAGTGGAATCGGCGGCGGCTTCTGGGATACGAGGCGAGGCCGCATTCCTCGAGGAGGGCGGTGCCTCCCTCGCCGTTTTGCGTGAATGTGCCTTGAGTACACTCTTGGGAATAATCGTGGACGCAACCCATCTTCGGGCTAAGCCAGACCAGCTACACCGGGCGTGTCCATTTCCCACAGGTTAAATAAGCCGGCCCCTAAACGGTGGCCGAGACTTTCGCTGGGAGAGGCTCTGGTCCTCGGAGCCTCTACTTTCTTTTTGCAGCTTCCTCTTTCCCACGAATATACCTAATACGGTAGCGTAGGCCCCTCCAGGTGGACCTGTCTGATACAACAAAACCGATCTTTTTAGTCTTTTCGTTGTTGGCCGACGGGCAACGCGTGGTGGCGAAACACCAATAAAACCCGCCTCTTCGGGATCCCTGTGTTGCGGAGTGACTTTTCTCTATCAGAGCCTACAGCAGTGTTTGGACGGAGCCGGCAGTAGCAGTCCTCAAGCGCGAGCTACGGTGTGGGATACTTCGCTGTACAGTCAGGTAAGTGGAATCCCACAGTTTTAGAAGTGTTTTATTTACTAAGTTTCAAACTCTTTTCTTTCTTTTTTTTACCGAGTGGAAAAGGAAAAAAAAAAACGTTATGCAGAATTTGGTGAGCGACGCGAGGGATGCCCAAATTTCTTGATCGCTCGACAAGAGACCTTTCACTAAGCTCCCTAATAAAATTCACGCTTCGCTTTTCTTCTAAGTACCTACGGCACATCGGTAGTTTAGCATCATGTTACCGTACAAAAAACCTAGTCCAAATATAGAGCTAAATACATGATTTTTATCTACGGTTCGTAAAAAGTATTATGCACTCGACATATTTAGTATAAATGTTTCTGTCCTTACACAAGCTTACTGGCCCTTTGGATGTGGCATAATTTATGAGAGAGAAAAGGAGAAAAAACGAAAGCCGTTCACAACTCCCTATAACGCTGAATTTGAGCGCAGTTCTTGAGGAGGAGGAGGATGGAAGGGTACTGAGGGGAGGGTATACCCCTTCTCCCTCCTCCTCACCTCGTCATCCTGCCTGCCACTCCACCACGGGGGCCACATGGTCTCATGGGGGCCACGTGACCTGGGGGGGAGGGGGGTCACGTGACTTAACACGTGACCCCCATGGCATCACGGGGGTCACGTGACTTCACTACGCCGACGCCGCTCAAGGCGGAAACAGGTGCCTAAGAGCTGCGCTCTAAAAAAAGCTCGCAAGTTTTTTGTGGTACTCATGGGGGGGGGGGGGGGGGGGGGGGGGGGTGTCCGTGCGATAATACGACCGAGTATACGTAAGGATGTAGAGAATGCGGTGCTCGAGCACCACTTGACGTTGAAATAAATACCCTCTAACGGTAATAGACTTATTCCAAAACTCGAAGCGCCTCATCGCGGCGTATTGGCACGTTATGAATTGTGGGAATCAGTGGGCAGCAAACTTCATACGCGCTCCGCTCCTGGCCCACAGGTTCCCAGAATCCCACGCGCGCGGTGACCGATGTATGGAAGTAGTCTATTGACTACAACATAGGCCTGGCTAAGCGTTTACTTTTTTTTTTCAACTAAAACAAAATATTCCAACATGTTTCCGCAGACTTAAAATTACCGGTTTTCAAGGGCTTATCAAGTGAAGTCTGGAGAAAATCAAGGAATACTTTTTTTTATTGCAAAAAAAACGAAAGAAATAATTTGACTTTTTTTATAAAAAAAATTTTGGGAAAAATGCAAAAAATACTTACAATACACCTCTATATTTTTTCTTAAACGTGAAATACTCGGGACGAAAAATTCCACATCAAAAACTTCATTCTATAATGTGCTAAACATTCGCGCAAAAATGCCTCAGTATGAAAAAGTGGTGCAAGAAACGAGTTTGGTCATTTTATTCCTTTTGAAACTTAAACAAAATATAAAAAAAAAATTAATTTAACTAATTCTAGAAGACCGAATTACGTTAGAAGACCAGGTTAGTTATATTTTTCATCCCTGTGGCCCTCAAATTTGCGTCTACGCTCTATTGAGAAAGTACTTGGGCTACTTTTAGTCATTTTAGAAGATAAAAACGCTCAAAAATCGACGGACAAGTAGAAGAATGACGAACACCGCAGAGCGCACGTTGATAGCAGTACGAACAGAGAACAGAGCACTCTCCGTGGTGTTAGCCATTCTTCTACTTGTGCGACGGCGCTTTTATCCTTCATAATGAAATACCGATAGAATTGAAAAGAAATGGGCATGAAGGGGTCGAGAGGGTCAAATCAAAGCGAGTAAAGGTGACCGACTCTGGAGGACATATTCAGTTCCCCTGCTCGAGTCTCCAGCCCGGCGCAAAGAACAAGAGGAACAGGAGGCGGGTCGACCAGCGCGCGTAACCAGCTCGGGCAGCCGTTTATTCGATGCTCCGCAAATGGTGCCTGTACAAGCTTCGCAGAACCGGCGGCGCGTAGCTGGCGACTATGTACAAGGGTGGCCGGCTTTCGGCGACGCTGAAGCCGAGATGAGCCGGAATCCGGCGGTGAGCAGGGGGGGACACCGGGGAAGCAACAATGGCCGTGGGGGGTGACTAGCTGCGATCCGAATTTTGGTTCCATTCGAACTCGTCGCACCACCGATTTCGCGAAATGTGCCACTCGTTTGGCACGTGTCCGTGGAGGAGCGCAGGAGGCCCGACGGGAACGAGCCAGCGGCGGTGGCGGCGAGGAGTTGCCGGTCTCCGCCTTCACCGGGTGGCGGCCGTCCTGGGCAGGACGCTCCGGTAGACGTCCTCAGGCGGCATGTCCTGGTCTCTGGCCTGCTGCTCAAGCTCGCTGTGGCCGTCCTGGATCGCGTACGGAGCCGAGCGACCCAAGAGCTGCGAGTCCATCATCGACTCTTCCTCCTGGTTGGGGGACACGGAGGAGGAGGCGTTGAAACCAGATGGAGTGACAGTTTACGTAACAAAACCACGACGAGGCACACTGACTAACTCGGGAAATGGAGCATATGCATGGTTCCGGAAAAAAGGGTTCCGGAGCAAATAGCTCTAGAACAAAATGGTCCCGGAACAAATGGTCCCGGTACAAATAGTCCCGGAAAAAATAGCGCCGGGATAAAATGGTCCCCGAACAAATGGTCCCGGTACAAATAGTCTCGAAATAGATAGCCCTGGAATAAAATTGGTCCAGAACAAATGGTCCCGACCAGTGGTTCTGGAACAAATAGCTATGGAAGAAAATGGTTTACGAAAAAATAGTCCCGGTACAAGTAGTCCTGGAAAATATGGCACAGGAATAAAATGGCCAAAGAACAAACGGTACGGGTACAAATGGTCCCGGAACAAGTAGTCCTGGAACAAGTAGTCCTGGAATAAAATGGTTCTGGAACAAATAGCCATAGAATAAAATGTTGCCGGAACAAATGGTATCGGTACAAATGGACTTGGAACAACTAGCCCTCTAATAAAATTGCCCCGGTACCAGGGGCCCCGGAAAAAATGGCCCTGGTACAAATAGTTCCGGAGCAAATAGCCCTGGAATAAAACGGTCCTGGTGCAAATAACTCTGAAATGAAGTGGTCCCGGAGCTATGGAATTAATGGTCCCAAGTGTAAGGTACAAAACTTTTTTCCCTCAAGACATTACCGCCCGTGCGTGTACTGCACGTACAAATGCGCTGCAATCGTGTCGGTTGTGCCCTGTTTCAATAGGTAAATGATCGGCGGCCCAAAGCTGTTCCCTCCCTTTTTTTATCCTACATAAATCTCCTGCACGCCGGTTAAATAAGCAATGAGATTGTCGGCGACATCCTAAAGCATAGTTCAGTCAAAGGTTCAGTGTCAGAGAAAGGGATCGAGAAACGTTTCTGGAACAAGCATTGTGAAGCGCGTACTTCTTAAAGGGATAGTGAACCGAAATTTGGATTTCCGAAAACAATGCAGGAGCTGTAGGCTGGAAGCTACAATCCCTGCAACACTACTTGTAAAGCGATATCGCGAATGGACGGCCGTATTTTTGGAAAACGAGGTTGAGATTGAACGAGGCCGACGAGGCGCGTGACGTCAACATATCTCGTTGCCTCCTCTCCTCACTTCGCCCCTCAAGGCGGTGAGGCGGAGAAGACGCGCAGCCGTTCCCTCTCCTTCTCGACTCTTCTCGGAGAAACAAGACGTCAACATATCTGTCAAACGCGCCTCCTTTTTTTTTTTTTAGAAAGATACGGTCATTTATTCGAGATATCGCTGTATGAGTGATGTTTTGGTGTTTGTAGCATCCCGTTGCTCGCTTTTGCCGCCGTGTTTTGTGGAATCCAGATTTCGGTTCAGCCGGTTTAAAGGGATAATACAACGAAATTTCGGCGCTTATTTTTTGGTCTATATTTATTTATTTATTTATTGTACATACCCTCAAGCGCCGAAGCATTGTAGAGGGGAGGGGCAAAGCAAAATAAAACAAACTGACAAAACAATAAAAAACAAACAACAAGAAATTGAAATATCAAAAACACACAGCCATTGGCAAAAGCGGCAAGCAATATATTTTACGGAAAAAAATAAACAAAATAAAATGACTCATGTTGGCTCACCAAACAGAAATGTAGACAAAGATTGGCGAAAAAGAGAATAATCAGGTATAGTTGTATAGTATGTGTTCAAAGGAGCAGTATCACATCGAACACACCAATATCTTGTTAAAAAAAGTCACAAAAAAGAATTTTAAAACGAATTAAACGATAAGCAAAGAGCACCTGGTGGATGTCGCTAACGCCTCGTTTGTAATACCCGTCTAGGAACCTTGAGAGATAGTGATGGTAACTGTCTCGCGTCCGCCCACGACGACAGAAGATGGGAAGGGGGAACTCCCCTCTTCCCAAGAATCCCTTTTCTGTTACCCAGAAGTCACTATTGTTCCGCTACAAGATTATGGAAGATTAACCCGCCACTCAAAATTCGTACAAAACGTCGGTGGCTGGAACGACTAGGCCATCCTCTCGACATCAGCCTCGCCGTAGCTTTGCTCGTCCCGAGACGAAATACGTTACGATTGCGTTGGATGTCATGTGGTCTCCGCTGGCTGTTCTCCGAGCGCTTGCCATAGTGGGCAGTTTATAACGAAAACTACAGCCATTAGGCTCAAAATACAAACGTGTCATTGCCATTTACGGATATTGTGGGTCATATTCAACCTATTTTTGAACAATACGAGTATATTTCAAATTTCGTTGAAGTATCCCTTAAGGGCTGTGCAATGATATTGGGTTGAAATTTTTCTCAGTTTACCCAAGCTTACCGGCACTATACTGTGGCCAGAGTATACTCACACGCAACGCCACTGACCAAAAGCTTTTTCGTCACGGTGTAATTTGTAGGATTGAAAGCACAATTTATCCATCAGTCTCTCCTCCATAAAACGTGATGACCGATGAGGATCGCAGTGTTGACGCAGTCGCAGGAGTCACCCCAGCGTGACGATCTTCAAATGTGGCTCATAGATTGGAACGAGCACTGCGTGAGCACTGAATTTGGGATTGTGACAATCAATGCCTCGACGAGCATTTGGTTATACTCTGTTCACCCTTAATAGACGATTCACATGACGGACCGAATCGCGATTTCTGTCCGCGGACCGTGTACCACCGGGCAGGCACGTCACTGATTCCTGCGATCCGCGCCCCGTCCGCGGACGCGTGGACTGATAAAGTCGAGCGCCTTTTTCATTCGCGGATTTTTGGCGGGAGATTGACTTGAAAATCGTTTAGTCTAACAACGAAACATATTTTTTTCGTTTTTTTTTTTCTTTTTTGGACGGTCAAAACAAAAATGGCGCATCGTTGTGTTTTGTGCGTTGGCTAGTTCATTTTGTCGTGTGATTCTAGGTTCCACGCGTGAAAGAAACTGCAGAAACTTTGTCCGTCAGCCGTGACGCAGGTTCCAGTACTCCGGATCCGTGTTAAGAAGCTCCTGCCAAAACTCGACTAGCAAGCCGCAATAGTTCTTGCACGTCCAATCGGCCCAATCAGCCTTTCACCGAGCAAGACCTTCTTGTGGCTGTGGTGTTTGTGAGTGTTGTGCCCGAGCGCGGAGTGTGTAAAAGCATCTCCAAACGTCCCTCCGCGAACCCAGAGCTTCGTCGCTTCTACGCCGAACCCTTCTCGAGCAGGACCATGCCTGTGTCACTGCCATGCCTTGGGTTAGTAAAGCTACTGGCGCTTCGCGCGAAGCCTATGACGGTGTTTTGTCTCGATTTGTACGTAACAGCGGCGTACGTACGATTCTTTACCGCGGTAGCAAACGTCGCTTTCTCTCTTGGACAACGGTGCCACGGTACGATGTTGGAGTTTCGCGGCGCTGTAGGGTGCCGCACAGGTTCGATCCGTCCTCGCTGGCGTCTGCTCGTTGTCTCCCTCGTGTGAATACGCTTGGGAGACGGACGAACCGAGGACATGTCGCCACGTGGTCAATCCGTCCGTCGTCTGAATCGGCCATTAAGGAAAGCTAAAACACTTCTTGAAAAAAATTTAAAAAAAAGTAAACGGATTATAGGTGCATTTTAGAGTATTTTTATCCCGTGGATCTGAATATTACGTTCGCTTTGCCGGAAAATGTAACTAAACGCGAAAAAACACGTAAAACCTCCGACCAGTCGTGACGTTAAACTAGGATCCTTGGGCCGTCAAGCGCATGTCGCTCGTGTGGGCAGAGCGTGCAATTGTATGCTTGTTAGGTATATTTTTCAGCACTGACACCAGCAAGGACGTCTCTTTCTGACCTTTTTGAAAATAGCAAAGTGCTCGTTAATAGCTTTCACAGGCGCTGACTGAGATGCGCGAGAGCGGAGATTCCGAAAACTCTGGATATGACGCCCCTCCCCCGAAGGAGGGGCTTCTGCGGTACTTCGAAAATTAATTTCTGCAGCCTCCGTGCACCAAATTGAAAAATGATTTCGATATTCGTGATTTAGACGCCAAATGAAGACGATTTAGGTGTTTTTCCTTAGATGCATAACCGATTCAGTTTCCCTTTAAGCTGAGACTGCAGGCAAAGCTACAAGCGCGAGCTAGCCCGCGCTCCTGGCTTTGAGACATGCATTTCTAACGCGAGAGCTCGTTCTGTGGAAGAACGCTTCAAAGCAGCGACCTCTAGCTCTTGTCCTTGTCCAGTCGCCGCAATGACGGGAATAGTTAAACCCTAACAATAGGCAATTTTAGGGGCCCCTATAGACTTGGGGGCCCCAAACAGCTTGGGGCGTCGCAATGAGCATGCTCAATGTAAAGCCCCAAGCTACTAGGGGGACCCAAAGCGCAGGGGCCCCCTATTCGAGAATCCTCTAATGTCTGTTGCTCACACATGCCCTGTGCTTTCCCAACCTGGAAACGTGGCTATGATGAACATTAGGCGGATTCGACTTACCTGCGCCCCCTGCACCATGCAGCTGCACTCTGTGTACACTTACGAGTGCAGAATATATCTAAAACCACAACACGAAGTACATTGTCCTGCACTTTTTTTGCACCGCACTCCCCTTTTCTGCGCCGGTGCAGGCTGGTGCAGGTAAAGAGAACGAGCCCACGGCACCCGATTACGTGACCGCTTTTTCTGGCACGACCGGACTGGACTGGCGCGCTTCTTTTTCATGCGGACGTTTCCGCGCCGCAGAAAAAAAATTTGCGCATGCATGATTCTGCGTGGAGGCGCTGAGACCTTGCTATGTTTAAAATGGCACTGAAAGGTCAAAATCATTTTTTATTATTATTATCCGAAACGATTGAAAACGATGCCTAAACTTTACACTCCAAATTCCAAACTAGGGAACTCAGTGTTTTTGATGTGCTTGTGAAGACTTTGAAGTTTTTTTAGAGCCCCTTCAGCAGTCTCAAATTCTTTGAAGCGGTGCGAGGTCGAAGAGGACGCGCAGCGAACTTTTCTGAGTGACGGCAGGAGCCATGTGGTGCCAGTGTTAGACGAAAGGCTGCCCCGCGGCGGAGTCGCAACCATAAGTATACGCTGCACAGGTCCCCCGAAGGATGCGTCAGAGAAGGCGCCACGGCTAGCTGCAATTGTTAAAAAACTACGGGGGGGGGGGGGGGGGGGGGGGTTATAACGAAAAATACAGCTACCAGGCTCAAAATACAAACGTGCGATTGTCATTTACGGATATTGTGGATAATATTCAACCTATTTTTGAACACGACGGGAATATTTCAAATTTCGTTGAAGTATCCCTTTAAGGCGAAGAGACAAAATCCACGCGCGTTTTCCTATGGGAATGCACAGACGCACCACAAAAAAAGACTGGTTGCTGTCTGCTTCAATGTGCGTCACGGAAGTCGCATAGACACTAGCGCCAGTTGAACCTCTAGCGTATATTATAATAAGTTAATAACGCTATGATGTGGCCATAGGTGGTCTTCAGTGACGCAGGAAAAGTCTACATTTAGGCTTTCTTATCTAGGAGGTGTTGGGCGAATATGCAACTCTGTGGCTCTAACGAAGATATGCATCGGTGGCGCCCTCTGATGGTTCCTATCCGTGACGTCACAATCAGGAAAAACAGTTGCGAGCGGCAAGCTCGATGTTGTGTGTGTGTAAAATGCACGGTAACATGAATCTTATTTCCGTCGCTGAAAGCAGACCAAAGACGTAATAGCGAGCGTTTGGCCTTGTCTCGGAAAGCCGACCACAGCAACTCTTTTGGTGGCGCCCACGTCGCCAATAGAGACAATTTCACTGGTAGACAAAGTAAGGTTGAAGCGCGCAATGGGGGGGGGGGGACGGATTAGTTAGCTTGCCACTTCGGCCAGTGGCCGCATGGAAGCATGTGTCACTCGCACCACCACCGAGAATGGCTGCTGCCAGAATCCCTAGCGTAGTCTTGCCAAACGGCAAAAGTGCGTGGGCAATGGACACGTGCAGTGGCCTCGCCGTCCTGAAAATCGCTCACTACAGTTGGGCCGACACCGAACCGAAAGCGAACCGACACCGACCAACCTCAAGGACGTACAGCATGTACACGAATGATGTTGTTTTTTTTTTTTCGTTTTTTGGCAGAGTCGCATGCAATCACTGGTGCTCGCTTCTCGAACGCCGAATGATTGCAAGACTGCCAGGGGTCTATCTTCGCGTGCACGCTGCACGTGCTTGAGATAGCAGCAGCAGTGCCGGCTGCTGCTGTTTGCCGCTTAAAGGGAAACTGAAGCGGGTCTGCATTTGAGGAAAAACACCTAAATCGTCTTCATTTGGCCTAAAGGATTACGAATATCGAGATTATTTTTCAGTTTGGTGCACGAAGGTGGCAGAAATTAAGTACCCCTGAAGCCCTTCCTTCCCGGGGCGTGACGTCACGTTAGGAGTTTTCGTAATCACCACTCTCGCGCATCTTCAGCGCCTGTCAAAGCTATGTACGCGCACTCTTGCAATTTTCAAAAAAGTCAAAAAGAGACGCCAGAACTGGTGTCAGAGAATATACCTGGCACGCTTGCAATTGCACGCGCTACCCACACGAGTGACACGCGCTTGGCGGCCCAGATACAGATGTCCTAGTATGACGTCACGCCTGGTCGGAGGTTTTTCGCGTTTTCTCGCGTTTAGTTACATCTTCGGGGAAAACGAACCTTATATTCAGATTCACGGGATAAAGATTCGTCAAAATTAACGTCTAACTCTTTTTTTTTTTTTTCGAGAATTTTGCAAAATTGTTTTAACTATACGCTTTCCCTCACCGCTTCGGAAATGGCAGTCTTCTACAACACTCTAAAAAAGGTCTGTGTGTCCACTTTCACGAACAGCCCTCGGAGAGCCAATCAGCGCTACTTATGGAGGCAGTTCAACGAATGACGATAAATATTCATGTTGCGAGAAGATTTCTGCGAATTTCTCTTCCATTTTATGTTAATGAATTCTTCCGAACCTGCCCCATGACACGTATTCAGACCTTGTATAATACTTTGAATGATTCTTGCATTGATATTTTTAACCCATCTTTTGCAGCGTTCAAGTCTTCTCTTACAAATCTATAATCATCTTTGTAGCGTTCAAGTTTTCTATTGTCAATTTGTAGAATTATACTTCTTTTTGCTGTATGTTAATTGTGCATCATTATCAAGGCTTCAAGCTGTTCATGAGCACAAAAAATAAACAAATGAATGAATGAATGATGGAATGAATTGCGTAATGCCACAGCGCAGACCTCATTTGTAGATCTAAACGGATGTTCTGCCTCATCATTCTCTGAGCTGATTTCGTAGATCGGAAAGATATAGCTCTTGCATCATAAAAAAAATCTGTGCGTCTACTTTCACGCACACCTGGAGAACCAATCAGCGCAACTTGGAGGCAGCTCAGCGAATGACGATGCCGAAACATGTGTTTAGACCAAAAAACGCAGTCTGAGTTGTGACATAAAACAATGCAAAACGTCACGCTTGCATTGCTTAACAACTCAGACTGCGTTTTTTGGTCTAAGCATATGTTTCGGCATCGTCTTTCGCTGAGCTGCCTCCGTAAGTTGCGGTGGTTGGCTTTCCGACTGTTGTGCGGGAAAGTAGACGCATGGGCTTTTTTTAGAGTGTAGAGTGTAGGGCGTGGCGGGCGCCGTGCATCTCATCATCGCTGTCAATCAGATCGCGGCATCAGCCGAAACAAGAAGCATCACAAGGTGCACGTCCTGCTTTTCTTCAAAGTCAGCTCAAGAACTGCGTGACTTACTGTCTTGAGGCTTCTTGTTTCGCGATTCGTTGTTGGGTTTTCTTATCGGCTAATGCGGCAATCTGATTGGCATCGGAGCGATGACCGGACGTGAGCGCGGCAGAGAACCAGCGACACGCACCGGCGGCGGCGAGCTGGGGAAGACGAACTGGGCGACGTCCTGCGGGAACTGGGGCGGCGGACTGCGGATGAGGTGCTTGTGCAGGTCCTGGTAGTCGGCGTCCTCGTCCGGAAACAGCAGCTGGCGCTCGTCGGCCTGGTCGTCCTGGATGGAGAAGCGCTCCATCTGCTGCTGCAGGTACGGGTTGTCGTGGCGGGACTGCCGCAGGGCCTCCATGTCCTGCTCCAGGTTACGGGCCCGCACGGGCGACGTCGACAGCAGGTCCCAGATGTGGTCCGACGACTGCGTCATGCTGGGCCCGCCGGAGGGACGCAGGGACCGCCGCCTGCATATGTGCACTTGGTGATTCCAGAGGCCTCTCAGCTAGAGGGCGCGTCCGCAAGATGCCACCCCAAAAGGAGCTCTAGCCTCCGACATAGCAATATCCCTATAAAAAACAAGGCCTGCCCCCAAACGTCACCACTATAGTGGTTCCCCATAGCGTCACCTAACTAGCGTCAGCATCGTCACCAGCGCGTTTCACAACGAGTGCGACGCTAGCGATGCCAAGACGAACGCGTCAGCTGCTTTGTGGCGTCTCTCAGTGAGCTTCAGTGTGCCTTGGCGCGGATCATGGATCCACTAGCGATGACGTCATGCGCAGGCCTTGCCTTCTAGGTGGGCTATGGGAGGACGAGGAGGCCACGGAGGCGTTTCAGTTGTCTCGCCTCCAGTGCGGGACCTTCGATAACACTTGGGCGTCTCGTGAAGCCTCGAGCGTGCACGCGCAGCATACATGGGTAAATTACTTTCAAAATGTAATTTAAATACAATTACAATTACTCTGCTTCAAAAGTAGTTTAACTACAATTACTACTACGTGAAAAGTAAATAATTACAACTGCAGATTACTTTTAAAGAGTAATGCAATTACTTCACAATTAGTAATTTCTGAGAGCGACTCGACTTGGGCCCTATAACTTAAAACGAGTTGTATAGATTGCAAAGTATTTGATCATTCCTTACTCCAATGTTCACGTATTGTACATTCTTTATATGAATTCTGCTAAATTCATGATAGAACTTGACTGTAGGGGGCAATGAAGTACTACGTTCTTATATTTTCAATAAATAATAATAAATTAGTTCACATGCTGGAAGACGCCAGATTGCTAAAGAAAACAATTGGGTTGACAGAGATTTGTTAGCCAGACAAATAAAAAGGCAAAAATTAGTCATATATTATTATTTTACAAGTGTTTACAAAAAACTAAAATCTACACGCGCTAATACGACCACATTCACATACAAACATCCTGGTATTGTAAATTATTTACATTCAGTTGAAAGTATAATGGCTCAGAAATATGTAAGTGCCGAATCGGAGCTCCCGAATCATTGGTGGCAATATTCACAGGTACGAGGTGAGTCTCCAAAGTGCTTATGTAAATAATATCCGAAGTAAAACCAACACGAAATAAACTTGAAAATAAAACAATACGCATATGAGACAGTACTGGAAGAGGGACGTAAAAAACTGGCAAAAAAGAAAGAAAAATAACTTCAAGACAATTAAAATTCCCAACCTCGGCTGAAAGCTGAAGCTCAATTTTTTTCTTTCAATATTTTGGCATGTTTACGTTATTGTTTTCTTCTCGCACCGCAGATGGCGCCACACGGCGCCGTTGAGGTAGACTCCAAAGAGGATTGTCTCTAAGCCCGTAGTGTAAGCAACAAAACAACAAACAACGCGACGCTATTCATCTTGTGCGTGTGTGTGAGTTTGTGTATGTGTGTGAGTGTTTTACCGAGAGCTAGGCCGCTTGTGCGAGCGCTAGGGCTTTCAGAGAGGTTCCATCGGCGTCGCAAAGATTTGCAAAAGTAATTGTGCATTAAATTTCGCAATTACTGACGCTAGGAAGTAATTAAATTACAATTGCAATTCCTTTTAGCCAAAATTAATTAATTACAATTACAAATTACCAAGAAAAGTAATTCAATTGCAGTAATTGAATCCAAGTGTGACGCGCAGCTATATATGTAAATATTTGCAACATTATAAATTAATTGCGGTAGTCTAATTCAAAAGAAAAGCTCAAATTGTAGCTCGTCCATCTATGTCATGTAATATTCTGTGAGTGCTGTTGTAATAGCAGGCGCTGATTTTATTAACTCTGTGATGTAGAGAGGAATATGTGAAAGATTATTTCCTGACTTTTGACAAAATCCTACAGTCTTCGAAGTATTTCTAGACTTAGAAGCCTATAAAAAATTGTTATATTACAGTTTTTAAAGTTTTTAAGAAAATTTGAAGCGGTCACTCCAGTGGCACATTTTCCGACGCTGTGTTCTGGCCGTTAGGAACTTTTGGTGCTATCACAAATAAACAACTCTACTTTATTGGACAGTCCTGTGCTGTGGTGAATTGGTGCTGTCACTATTGCATGCCCAAAGAAACGTGCTAGGTAAACAACACTGTTGTGACCGCATCAGATATCCACAGCACCTCGCGGTCACTGCAAAAAACTTTAAAACGGGATTGAAAAAAAAAAAAAAAGCTTAACTGGGTTGGTTAATACCTATCACTGAGAGTATCTATCGTGCAAAATGGATCACATTTCTTAAAACTTGTAACGAGAATAAAATCTAAATTATATATATATATATATATATAGGATGTTTTTAGTTTTTTACTGCACGAACCGCGTAAGCTACGCTTACGCGGTTCGTGCAGGTGAGTTATACGGCCAGGGGGACATGGTATATGGGCTAATCGTAACGATCAGTCGGCCAATTAATTAAAATTTGGTAATTAAGTTTTTAGTTAATGAAAATAGGCATATAGTTCCAATTAGAAACTTACTGAGCGTCATCAAAAATCATTAAATCAACTCTTTTAGAACGACTTGAAGCACGTGAGAAAGTAGGGGGCGGGATATATATATATATATATATATATATATGTAGAAAGAGAGAGAGAGACAGACAGACATTGTTAATTCACTAAATGGAAATCAACTAACAAGAGAGAGGCGAGTAAAGGCACAATTTAACTTTACAATGAACCCCGTCAATCGACCGCTGTGGACATATCACGTGACCAGGCGACCCACGCGTCGCTGCGACCCTAGCGGGAGTCACGTGACACTCACCCAGCCATGGATTGACTTCGATGACTCGTAACGTCCTCTGTTGTCCACCATAAGATAAAACAAAGTGGCATTTTTTTTTTAATTGCTTTGTTAAGTTTTGTTGTTTTAAAAACAGTTATTTTAGTATATACGAAATCCATAGACTCCGAGAACATTGAGTTATTATAATGTACGCTAGAGCTTTAACTGGCGCTAGTGTCTATGCGACTTCCGGGAAGCAAATTGAAGCAGACGGCAATGAGTCTACTTTTGCGGTGCATTCCGATGGGAAAACGCGCGTACATTTTCTCTTTTCGCCGGAAAATAACATGCATCACGCTTGTTATTTGGGTAGTACCGAATAGTATGTACCTTTATCATAAATGTAAAAGTGTAATTTTACGATTCTAAGCAAAATGGCAATCGAAAGGAACAGTGGCGTGCCAACTTACTTTTGAGTGTGTGTGTGTGTGTGGGGGGGGGGGGGGGGGGGGGGAGGGCAAACCAGACACCCCCGGGGGGGGGGGGGGTCAAAACATCCGTTGCCCCCCCCCCCCCCCCCCCGGTTGGTGCGCTCATAGAAAGGAATGTAGAGTGTGTCCAAAGTTCGCCAGCATTCCGGTGAGGCTTATGGTATATATATTTAAAATGCCAGTCCTATCACTATATGAAAATGACCCCGTTGTGCATCTCTACGAGTGGTTAAAGGTCGACGTACACTTCGCGCTTTCCACTTTTGCCCGCCTCCTCCTTTCCTATATCCTCTCGACTTTTTTCTTTGCCCCAACTTTGCTCCCCTCGCAGCTTAGGAGAGGGGGAGCGCTAGAAGGATTATCTTCCCTGCAGAAAACCGAGGTTGTACGTCGGCCTTTAAAAACACTCAAAAGGTAATTAGTTAAATACAAAGGATATGAAAGATATCTTTTTATTATTTCCTATGCCGGGGAGTTTTTATCGCGCACCTGTTTTCTGACTTTTCCCTAGTTTCAAAGATTTCGAGTGTGCGGTGATATTTTGAACGCAGAACATGCATCTTCGCACATATGCATGAGCAGAGAAAATAAAAGGGTACTTATTTATTCTAAATTTGACTATTTACTTGGCCTTCACTTTATTTTGTTTTTATGCACAGATAGTTCCTGACCCAGTGTTACTGCGTAATTTGTGCGTCTCGCTTAATTTTGCAGGTGTCCTTCGTTCGTCCTGCACGTCATTCCCCCTGCCGAAAAGCGCCGACGCCGTGTTCGCGCTAACAGTGTCCAACAGTGCAGATAAATGCATGGATGAAGCTGTTTTAGCACTGTATTTAATGCCATGAGTTTGAAACAAAAGCATAGTAACTGATCATTACGTGAATCAAAAAAATTCCAACCTATTTACTACGTTATAATTATTCGTAGTAATTCCTTTGATAATCGAGCGTAGAAAAAAAAAAACGCTCCCGCTTTTTCCAACAGGAATGCATTGCCGCGGAGGTCAATTTTCGGCTGTCTGCTTCAATTTGCAACAGCACACTAGCGCCAGCTGAACCTCTAGCGTACGTTAAAATAACTCGGTCTTATAATACTCAAAATTCTGCTATAGGCGTCCTGTGTTGCCCAGGGGGCGCTGCGAAAAGCGACTTCTTTTGGGTAGCACAAATTTGCGCGTCTGAAACAGTCACACGTGTAGAAGCGTGCATGTTCCGGTGCGCGGAGTGCGATCGCAAGAAAAAGAAAAAGAAACAGCAAAAATCTGAATAACGATAATAGCGTGAGCCAAAAACGCCGTTTCACGCGTACAAAAGTAAAAAAAAAAAAAAAAAAAAAAAGGAAGCATCGTGATCAGATAATTTGACGTCACCACCAAGAGATAGGAGACTTGTACCCTATATATACACCAACACAGTGTTTCCAAACAAGTCCGCTTTGCCCACACCAGGTGTGGGCACTGCGCGTGGGCAGAAACCAAATTCGGGAGGAGTAAAGCATCTGCGCATGCGCGGTCCCGACAGCAGCGCCACCGCAGACGTCAGAGAGTTGGGCTGGTCTATAGCGGTGGTGACATGAATTCCACAGTTTCGATTGTTCTGCGGCGTTGAATCTAGTCGATTTCAGACGTCGAGAGGTGTTTTCCGTTCTTCATTATATAAAAAAAAAAAAAGAAAAAGAAAAAAAAACTTCGTGAAGGCGTTACAAGTAGTGCAAGGCCCAATCAGGTGAGCTTGCACTATCCAAAGAGAGGACGCCACAGTTTGTTCAAAACTTCAGCGCAAAAAACCGATACAAAAAAACAAAAAAACTTTAAGACGCAAAGCAACTATTGCAATCCTACCACGTTGAACGCAGTACCGAAGAGCGATATCATATGTAGTCAAGAAAGAAAACCAATAAAACGTTAAAAGAGTGTTACACTGTGTTAATAGCGGTTCACTGTTCAAGGTGCGAGTACACTATGGAAGTTTAGAAGTGTTTCTCATCCAGTGTTCAATATAACTTCGCTTTACGTTTTCGTTTTGCGTGTTTTATCTGCTGTTCATGGCATGATCTGTCAACAAATAATCACGGAAGTCTTTATCAGTATGTATATACGTCAAGTTTGTGAGTAAAATCACAACAAAAAATTCATGAAGTGTTCAATTTGTAGCTTAGTTATGACTTCGTTTTCCTTTTTTTTTTTTCCTTTGGTACTAATTCCTGCTGCCGAAACGACTTTATATATAAATGTTACGCCCGAATAATTTTATTCGCATTTTTTTTCTTTGTTTGTTTTGCGGATTTTATTTATCTACAGAGGGGGGCAGGAGATAAAGGCGTGGTGCCTGACAGCGCCTCTGCCTTCTCCAGTTCATACAGCACAAATACCAGTACAAACAAGTCACAGTGAGAATAAATCACAAGACAGCCATCGTCATAAAAACAAATAGAAACAGTAATTGTAGAAATATCTGAAAAGCACATGGAATACCATGACGCAAATCAAACAGCTACACAAGGGACTGTCTTGAACAATGTGGGGCGACACGCTTTTCATAACCCAGAAGACAAAAGAAAATAAAAATAAAGAAAAAAATTAACACGAAGTTGTGTGTATGTATATATATATACAAAAACATTTATAAAACAAATGGAAATAAGCTAAACCAAAAATGAGGCTACAAAAGTTTAATATAACTTACGTCTCATTGAAATTAAAAATAAATAAATATATATTCATCATGCCTTAAATAGAAGAAAATACGACAATTATGAACCACGTTTTTAAATATTACATTGATTTGACATAACTTAAATATTATATACAAAAAAAAAAAAAAAACTTTATGCTTGGCGGTACTTTCATTTTACCGTGGAGTTAGGAAAACGTAGACTGACACCTGGGCTGGCTTGCTACAAAGAGCGTCTGAGCTGAGACTGGGTGGAAGAAAGCACTGCCAAAGCCAGCGCACAAGCTGAGTACGATTCAAAGCGCGTCTCAAGACGCTCGCGCGCCCCAGCCTTTGCACTTCTTTCTTTCACCCAGTCTCAGCTGAGGTACTGTTCTAGCAAGCCGGCCTTGTACTTATTAGATGACACTTGTATACTCTGTTTCATACTTAATGAGCAATGCTGTCAAAGCAACAGGCGCGAGCATGGGGCTTGATTTCGTTGATCATTTGCACGCGTTCTCGCGCAAACAAAACCATAAATGAAGCCACACGCTCGCGCCAGTAGCTATGACAGCGTTGCACACTAAGTATGAAACAGAGTGTAGACATAGACAATCAAGTTATAACTCGAGATTCAACTACCGTTAATATACTGGGATCATTAACCTCTGAAAAAGTAACAGATATCAAATGAAATTGTGCTTCAAGATTTCAGCAGATGAACGCTATTTTTGAGTAAAGTTATATTGGTTGAGACCATTATTATTATTATTATTATTTAAGACGCACGAGCACGTAATGTTTGAAACACGTTATGTGCCATGCACTCTATCGTCACTTCGTTAACCTATATATGCTATCGCTGACAGCTTACAAAATACCAGCCATATACCAATTTGCTACACCACGAGAATGCCATGCGTTCATTCGTGAGCACATTTAGTCTAGTTCCGAAAACTACAAACACCAACCAGTGACGCTTCACAATTCATCGTGGATCTATAACATCAAACAAGCAAAAACACCAACATTGTGTATACGTACTGCACTCTGTGCTAGGTGAGACACGAGGAAAACGCTCCAATTGAATGCCGCTTTCTTAACTACTTCCACGAAGAGTTTGCGCTGCTCCGTTGTCACGCAGTGTCGACAACGGAGTGTGCGCGTTGATTCCCCAGACGCGCTCGGCCCGTCAATCCCTGCCTTTCTGTGAGCCCCGTCTCTGACACAAGCGGCATTTCCACCCAAAGAGCCGCCGATTCGCGACCCGGCTACTTACGATTCTCCATACGATGCGGCCGTCCATCCCCGTCGTTCGAATGCTACGTCACGCAGCGAACCTCGCGCACAGTGAATGAAAGCGTAACGGGATCGCGCATCTTCGGTGGGCGGCACGTAAACACTGGCGCTGGGAACGCTGGCGCTGTGCCGCGCCTCGAAAGCACCTTCGAGGTCCCAACGTCGGAAGCCGTATGCCGTGGCGGCGCTCGGCTCTCTCACAGCCTGACGCATCGGTTGTGAGGGCACGAGCCCCGCGACCAAGCGCAGCGGCATGCCTCCGCGGTGGCAGGATGCCGCTGCGCCTGTTCGTCCCGTCCTCGCGACGGAGTTGCTGTCAACTCAGCCGTGGCGAGTCGTAGCGCGACGACGGCGTCCGCTCTTGGCGGCCTCGACTGCTCCCGAACACCGCTCACCTGAACATGCTGGTGAAGACCTCCAGCGGGTTGCGGCGACTTCCCGGCAGAGAAGTCGTCTCCGCCTTCATGGAGTCCGGCTGGAGCATGGCCTGCGAACGAAAGCGAATGGGGGCGTGTGTCCGGACCGCGGATTCCGCGGTCACGTCAAAGAAGCCCCGAAGTCGAGCTCGGGGATACCAGCACGCCGCGTGGGTGGGCGTCCTCGGCATGACGGCGTACTCTCGGACAAGGACAAAGGTCGAAGAAGGCTCTCCAGCGCCGAGCCGTCGGCCCGACCGTGTCGGGCCCGGGGATTAAGTGGTGAACCGTGGTACTACCTGGGCTGCTCGTTCATGGGGTCAGATGGTGTAGGGGCCGACAGGCCACGCTAGGGCTAGAGGCCGGGGAGCGGACGAGAGCTGCAGAACCTCTCGAGCAGCCATCTCGTGAGTCACTCCGCGGCTGGCGATCGATCGGCCGCCGCGCCAGACGCTCCCAGCGGCGGTCTCCCCAACGCGGGGTTCGACCCCGGGCCCGGCGCTAGAGGCGCGTCCCGCGGCGGGGTGTCCCGCTTCGGCGGGGGATTTGGGGATCGGCGTGAACCGGCATCGCGATGCTCGGCGGGAAACTCGTGCCGCCGCACAGGGCTCACCTGATTTCTGCCCATCGGCTGGTTGGAGAGACGAGCCTGTGCGAAAAGGGCAATTGAAGCGGCGCTAAGTACGCTTTCAGAAGAAGAAGCACCGGCGTGGCGGGGAAACGTCACTTGAGTTTGAGAACAACCGGAGCTCGGATTCGAATTTCGTTTCCTCGTATGTCCAGAGTCGGCCATCTTCATCGAATTCCTTCATTTAGAGCGTCGAGGCTCGACCCGAAGCTTCCCCGTAATGTTTGAGACTGCCACAAAGTCTGCAACGCGAGCAAGGCCCGATGTCCAAACGGCACATCGCATTCCACGAGAGATACTTACCATGATTTTTAGTATTCGGTGCTTGGCGTGATTTCGTCTTGCTACCCCTTCTCGTTCAATCCAGCGATGGCACTGTCGGCCACGTTCGGCGAGTAAAGAGAAAAAAAGAAAATCAGAAACACAAATAACGCCAACAGTCTGAGAGTAACGCGCGTCCTTTCGAATACTACAGGAAGCAAAAGACGTGCTCCAATACGCGCCCTCGGATGTTCGAACCCCACCCCTTTTCGGACTGTCTGCAAGGGAAGCTTCTCTGCGTTCGATCAAAGCCGAACGTGCAAGCGCGAGAATCTGGCCTCGAACGGCGCTGTCACTGCGCGAGGATCAGTTTCAGCAGGGCTCCAACGCTCTACTTCGTTTCAGCTTAAGTCCAGACGCAGCCGATGCTACAAGCGCGAGCATGTGACACTGAACAGCGCTTGCACTGCACGAGTGCGCGTGCATGGCAGGGACACTGAGATCCCGAAACTCGTGCTTGTAGCCTTTGGACTTAAAGGGGCGATGCAACAATTTTTGTACTTTGCGCAAATACCGCTTAGAACGGATCCCTGACGTTAATGACCTATAAAACACACGTTGGTTTTTCACCCCACGCAATAGAAGTCCCAGAAAAAAAAAATTGAATAAAAACGAGCAGCCTTCACCCCCTCAACTCGCAGCCAGAACAAGCGGCCACGTGATCTGGAGCCGATTATATGCCGCCAATGTTGATCATAGCCACGCGCTGGGGGTTTGCCAGGGGGGTAAAGGTGGGTGAGGAGGAGTGGCAAATCCCGTGCGCCGACATCCTGGGTCCCGAGTGAACGATCGCGAAAGAGAGCGACAGAACACGAGAGAAAGAAAGCAACGTTGCCATGGTAAACGCGGTAAACGCGAAGAGTGTAAACTCTCAGCAATATAAACAGTGATAATTTAACGTTGTAAACTAAATTCTGAGCTATTCTAACGCTTATAAAAAGCAATAAAGTCATCACGCTGCATTAACTTCCCTTCTGTCGAAATCTCGGAAATCTGGTGGTTGCGCAGTTTCGTATTCCTCAACCGCGCCCAGCCGCGCCCCACCAGCGAAGCCGGGTATATGGTTTAGTTTAGCGTTAAAGGCCGACTTACGAAACCATTTTCCGCAGGGTAGGAAAGTGCTCCCCAACGACCTTCGCTCCCTCCCCTCTCGCACTCCTTCCTCCTCCTCCCCTGAAAAGGGCGGGTCCGGAAGCTAGTCTCCGTGGAAAGGAGATGGGGTTTCCTCCTCTCTGGGTGGCAAGGAGGAAACCTCTTCTCTCGCGGAAAATGATTTTGTAGGTCGGCCTTTAACGCGAGGCCGTACATCTGCGCGCTATGCAAAAAGAAACCTTCGAAAGGAACGCGAGTATTTTTCCACCGGTAAGTTCGTGGATTGTTGAAGTTCACGAAACTGCTCTGATGATGTAACCGTGTTTGGGACCCAAAGGGTCTGCCTGCATGGTCCGCCGCTTGCGGCAGCCAGAATGTATGGGAAAATGGCGGACCTTTTCCTCTAGATTTAGTATATGATCTCTATGGGGTTTGCAAAGCACAGGACAGGCGCTGAGTTCCAGACATTGTTTTTCAGCGATTGGACACGGGTCACTATGCGAATGCTCCTCGAGCTAGTAATTATCACGAGCCCGAATCGAGTGCCCACGCAACGCTCGGGTCCAATCCATGAACCGCATTCAAATATCGTCATCGGGGTGTACTGCGATCCCCACGTTACGTCATCGAATTTTGCGAAGGTGAGATTGAATGAAAATGATCGATTTTGTCCTTGAAATTACACCGCAACAAAGGAGTTTCTTGGCCAGTGGCGTTGCGTGCGAGTATCCTTGAGTCCCACTAGTGCCAGTAAGCTCGTGTAAAGTGAAAAACATTCCAGTTGAATATCGTTCCACCACTCCTAAAGCTGGCTTCGTTTGGTGTCTCCTTCGCACGACAGCGCGTGGGAATGAGACAGAGGGCGAAATCACGGCGACCTTGCATTTGATAGCGATTGCCCGGAGAGCTGCTCAAAACTGGAGGTATTCACTGGGCGTCATATTTGAATGCGCTATTAACAGCGCATGCTCAGAAGGAGCTCACATCAACTAAGACTGGCAATCTTGATGGTGTGGATTGCACGTTGCAAAACCAATGTGGAAGATCGCCGTCAGAACGCGCTCAGCAACCGCCGACTCAGCTATTGCTACCAGTGAATACACTCTATGCATACCTTGCACCTACGTCACATGCAGTGTTGGGAAGTACTTTAAGTACAGTGTACTTAAAGTAGTACTTTAAGTAGGTTTAGGAAAGTTGTACTTGAAGTGCATTCTCCGAGTATATACTTGTACTTTACTTAAAGTTGTTTTTTTTTTTTTTTTTTTTTTTTCTGGTACTTTCCGAGGAAAGTACAATTCCCGACTTCAAAGTACATTCCCCAAATTTGGTTTTGTTAAATTTGTATCACGAAATTACGCCTTGTCAACTCCGAAGAAATACCGGGAGGGATATTCTACTCTCACCAGAAACGTGAGCAGACGACGCATCGCTCTGTTCTGGGGGCGGCTTTCCCGTAGCTTTTTGAACTATCGCTACTTCGCGGTAGGTCAGCGCAAGCGAGGAGGCTTAAAATGTTAGGAGAGCAAAATTAAATATGATGAGGCACCTGAGACTGTGGTGCGAAAAAATTAAACGTTCAAGTCGAAGAAAAACACAACAGAGAACGCCACAATGTTTTGAGATATTCTCTTTTTTGTTTTCCTTCGACTTGAAAGTTCCTTAATTTTTTCGCACCCCAATCTCAGGTGTCACAATATGATTCATTATCACCAGATCGCTTGCAAACTCACTGGTTTTTTTTTGTTTTTTTTTGTTTTTTCATTAAGAAAAGGACACTCCTTTATTGGAGGATTGCTTGCGGAAACTACGGGGCTGATGTCAATACTCTCTCCTAGTACATTTAGCCCCCCTGGGTGCCACAAGCCAGTGGCAAGCGGCGCCAAATTCAGAAGCGGGACTTCTGAATTTGGCTCCATTCCTGAAAATAACTGCTCAATGGCCATTTGGCTTCATCAAATATTCGCCGCTGTTTTTTGAGAATAGGTCATGCACCCCTGATTACCCCTGGGCAATGCATACCAGTTTAAAAATCACTGTAAAGGGAATGAAAGGGCACCAGGAAAAATTGTTTTAAAATACTTGTACTTTACTTTGGAAGTACATTGTATTTATAGTACTTTACTTCAAGTACATTGCACCCAGTGTACTTACTACTTTACTTGAAGTACATCACGTCTCATTTACTTTGTACTTTACCCACCACTGGTCACATGATGACGTCGAACGCCGGTAACCACCATGCTGGTGGTTGACTCGGCGGCCCTTCGCAGCGAGAGCAACTGCGCCGCGCTCGGCTGTAGCAATTACTACGTATCCCGACGATCGTTTTGTCGGCATGCACCGCGAGACAGAGTAGCTGTCAAGTTAGTGAAAGTACGAGTGGCAGGAAAGGGATACGGCCGCGGATTATCGAGTTTGCGGGACGCATTTCATAGCGGCGAGCGACGGCACTTTTCTACCGTTGTTTACGTTTGCGCACGCCTTTGCATCGGCTTTTGCCAGTTCGCGGTGTGGACGTGTAGATGCCCTTTGCCTTTCGTTATATCAGGCCGTTTCCCCGCTTCGAGCGCACCTTCGGGGCTCCCGCAGCTCCCGGCCGAGTACGGGCGGGTGTCACGCCGCGAGTCTGGCCAGGGGGCGATCGGTTGGCGGTGGCCTCCGTGTGCAAGCTCGCCGAGACTAGCCAGAGTTCCGCTTCTGTTTTCCGCGGGCCGCCGCGTCGCTATTCGCAGAGATCCGATCACGTGAGGAGCCGGATCAAGTGTCGTGCAGGAAAGAAGACGCAGCGCGCGCCCCGGCGTACGTAGCCCTGCTTTTGAGCGCGCCGCGCGGCTCGAACGCGCGGCGCCGCTATTCGCCAAATTCAGTCGCATGAGGAGCCGACTCCGCATGCCGTGCAGGAAAGACGGCGCTCCGGGGGTGAACGCGCAACTCTCGCTCCCTAGCCGAGACCCCACCGCCTGGACATCGGTTTGTGCCGTCCGCGAGACGCTAACATTTGCAAGGTGCGAAAGTATGAAGACGAGCCGGCAGGCGCGTATAGGCAGGGGGGGTTCAGGCGTCAGAACACCCCCGAAATTTTACTTTATTATAGTACGTATATTTTTTTTTGTGTGTATATGTGTGTGTGTGTTTGCACCAGCACCTTGGAAAACCCCCGAAAATATTTTCTGGCTACGCCACTGCGAGCAGGTTAGGAAACATCATAATATAAACCCTGAGACAATGAGGGTTGTCTGTTATTTTATTTATCCTTCTATCAGGGTTTAGATTATGACGCCAACCTTGCATTGTTTACCAGTATTTCGCAAAATCGTTCAATTCTTCTACAAACGACTCCAATGAGCCTCTCGTAAAATTTTAA